GAGTTTCTCGGATGTGTATGTACGACAGTGAGGACGTACGGATCTGGATGCTTCTGGGTACACAAGTCTTCATTAGAAATTAAATAAGTGAACTGGTGAACATTTTTCTGCCTGAAGCTCTTCAGAAGTGTCAGAAGCGAATCAGACATGATTCCAGATTGATGCGGATTAAGATTTGAATTGTCCAGCATGACACGTATCCGATGATTTTCAGTCTGATTTCTGAGACAGATTTTGTTTCTTCTGTCATGAGATGAAAAAACCTGGTTAACATGTGGTTCACGGGTCATAATGCATACGAAAAACACAATCGCAGCAAAACTCAGAATCTTGTAAATCTTGCGGCCTCCGTATATTTTAATAAGGTGGATTTGGAGCATGGCTATCCTGAAAATTAATATCTGTTTTCTGTAAAGCAACACATTTCGATTTGACTTAATCAGACGTGGGAGTGAACAAGAATAAAAAAGGCAAAGGTTATCCTCCCTTAAGACGGACAACGACATGAATGAATGTCTTCGGACAAGACTCTAACCTCAAGTTTTTCAGGAAGAAACGTCGCTTTGTTTGAGGACAGCCACTTAGACCTAAGTTGATTTTGCAGTGCTTCTTGGAGTAACATACGGAATCTTTAAAACTCTGTACCTTGAGTTGAAGAACTAATCAGTTTAGTTACCAGCAATGTCCTTTGGAGCACACGGATGTCCAGTTTCATTTCGTATGGAAGCTCTGCAACGGATGAGCATTCGGCTTCGTGTAAGAACTAATGTTTCACGTGTTCCATATAGCTTCGCGAATGGCGAATGGTGGTTGCGACCTCGCCCGATATCCGTTCCGCTAGTAGCGTACGAAGCTCAACAGCACAATGGGTAAGGGAGATAAATATTATGCGAAGGCCACCTTCACCGACTTGATATATCGCGATGAACTAGATTTCCCTTCTGATACAACTCAACTATTACATGCTCAGCACTCCAATGAGCAAGTGACCAACTTCAGCTTTAATCACATCCTAGCAAAATCTTGGGATGAAGAAGGTAACTTCCAGCAGAAGAGGATTGGGGTTATCACTGAACTGATATACCTCTATATTTCTCAATGCCAGTGGTGCTTTAGTCGTCGACGAACTACTACAGGGAGATCCATCAATCGGGCTATACGTTTGGCAGGTACTTATGGCAAAGATATGCAAACAGTAGAATTATTAGCACTATTTATGGTGGTCATACCACCGCACTCATGATGTCTTCTCCGGTAGATCCCAAATCTCAAACTATCTTGAAAGAAGTTACCTTGAAATAGATGAAAGCTCTGGTAACTGCCAGCGCAGCGGAAATGAATGTTGAGTAATACTTAACAGAAGCGTGTAATACTTAACAGAAGCGTTAAACTCCTCGAAATATCGGTAAATCTGATATCCGTAGTTGCCATTCATGACATAATGGACATACTTTGAAGTCGAAAGATGATCACGTTGATGCAAGGACAATTTTCAGCGTCGGTTGGAACAGACTAAGAATGTTGCAATTATCATAATGCCACAAAATCGTCATTGCTCGATCTGACCCCTTAACCGCTATACGGATTGAATAGTATATGTCTATCCAGAACTTCATGAAAAGTTGCTGTCACAGGTGCGCAAAGTACGCTCCACATTTGCTTCGGCGCCAGTGACCTTTTGTAGAGCGCTAACCGATCGAATGCTTTACAGTGTTAATGATCAACTTCATTTTGTCCTATTTGAACATCATGAATATACTTCCCGGGTTGTGATTCTTTCGATCACCATCGTGGCATTGAGTTGAGCAAATGTAAGCATAGTCATAAAAGAGATCACGATTATGCGTACGCAGCTTCCCATGCCGACAAGGAGCGATGAAACTAACGAAAGTGTCTTAAGTGGCAGCTTCTTGCAACTTCCAGGAAATTGCAGAACGTGACACATATTCCCAAATGTCGATTGCAGAACGTGCCTCGCAGTCTTACGTGTTGCTTCTGTTTATAACAGTTTTCATAATGTCTATTAATTAAATGTCATAACACCTACAATGTCCCGGCTTAGAATGAGATCAGTTCGCACGCACTAATGCAACCTGACCTATGCGATGACCAACTGACCGTTGGCGCGATGTAACGCTTGAGCTCGCTGAATGACCAACGAAGAACACGTTACGCGGTGGCTTCATCAGGTTCGTGCGTCACCCAACCGTGGCTCATGACACTGTTGAAAAGTACTGCCTTGTGAAGGAACGCAGCTGCTGAAACCGAGTGCATCAGGAGGAAACAAGAATGTAAGACAAGCCGCCTACTGCCAAGTTCTAATCTATGCTTGTTTTGCAAAAAAATCGCTTTTATATCAGATAGTAAGACAAAGCATTTGTTTACTAAACATGTAGCAAATACGGGATTGATCGACCTCATATATATGAACAACATCACGACCTGTGGCCTGAAGTAGTATGACCGTCATTGTTCCTGACATTGTAGCGATGAGAGAAGGATCTGGCTGTTGAAGTCGAATTTCCAAATACCAAACGAGATATTCTGGAAGGCCGTTTACCGTCTCAGAGATGAAAGTAGAACGGCGTAAAGATGCTGAAGCTAAAGTCCGGAAGCCTTCTTATGAAGAGAAAAGACATACTTCGGCAATGGACGAAGTACTCAGAGGAACTCATTAACTCCAGGAAGTAACCCGCAGGAAGACTTGTCTGAATAGCAGCAAGCAATGGAAATTAGTCTTGCAGTAAAGGTAGTCATAGAAACTATAAACACAGGAAAGTGGCATGGCTGCTGGAATCGAACATCTGCCGTACGATGCCTAAAAAGAACAGTGCATGTAGTGGCTAATGCGTGCCTGTCAAACTACAATGACCACTGAAAGACACCAATGGACTAAAGAATTGAGGTAGCAGTACCCACGTTCACGAAAGAAAACTATATGGAACACATGGTATGAAGCTTCCCAAGGAAAGTCGACGCAAAGGTGTTGGAAAGGAAATGCCGCGGAGTAACTAGGTCTAAGATCCTAGAGTTGCAGTGAACCTTCAGGTCAGGCTAACCCACCTATGATCAGATCCTTGCTTTGCTCCATATTGTTAAGAAA